CCCGCGCCCCAAGCCCGGCCCACCTACCTGCCATGGCCGCGCCCGCGCTTTCTTCCCGCACTGACCCGGCCCCGCCTCCCGGGGCCGCCCGCCGCGGGGTGGAGGGCGGAGGGAAGGGGGAGGGCCCCTGCGGCGGACTGGCGGGGAAACTGAGGCGCGCGCGGGAGTCAGGACAAAAGATCAATCCTCCCGGATCATTTGGGGAAACGGAAGCCAGAGAGCGGTGATCGTCTGGCCGAGGAAACTGAGGCCCCGGACCTGCCTAGTGGCCGCCCGGCCTGTGGGGCTGCATCCTGGCGAGTGCGGAGTGGGGAGGGGACGGTGGTCAGGGCTGCTGGAGCCCGCGGGGAAACTGAGGACCACGGCCTCCAGCTCCACAAGGACTCAGTGCCCTCCGTAGTTAGGAACAGAGGAGAAACTGAGGCCCGGGGAAACCCTCAGGCGGCAGGTGGAGAAGCAGCCCCCGGAGGGGGACCCGGAGGGAAAGCGCCCGAAGCGCCGCGTCAGCCCCCGAAGGGTTAACCCGCCCGCGCCCCGGGGCACGGTCTCCGCTCGACCTAAAGGAGAGCCCGCCCACCAATCATTACCTTTCCCCTTCCACCACTCAGCAGCCGCTGCGGGATTCCGGGACAGCCAATCAGGATTAAGCTGCTGGTTCCACTCAAAGTCGGAATCAGCCAATGAGCATATCTAGGAACAGGCGCGGTCAATCATTACAATCATCCAATCAAAATTGTCGACTCTAGTTCACGGGCAACCAATCAGCTCTTAAGTTAAAAGCAGCGCCCTCTCCCTCCCCTCCCGTGGGCCTGAAGCCCGGGAGTTTAGAGGCGGGGCTCAGCTGCGCTCCAGCCCGGACCTCGCGGCCTCGGCCTTTGTCCCTGTGTCTGTCCTTTGTCCCTTTGTCTGTCCTTTGTTCCTGTTTCGGACCTTCTCTCCCAGGCCCAACTCTGGGCTCCCGAGCGCGGTGGAGTTGAGAGGCGCTCCGAGCGCGCCTTGCAGGCCGAGAGGGAAAAGGACACTGGGCGCCGCGCCTGGCCGGGATTTCTTGGAATAATCATAACGATAACAATAACAAATATTATGATAATAAATATTAATACACTGTGATAGATATCGCTTATTAACTATTATGTTTATCGTTGATTATTATTAACAATTATGTTATCATTAGGCGATGCTAGCTACTCTTATCAAATGTCATCAATGATGAAGGATATATTAATGGGTTATTAATAATGTTGATTAAATTGTCGTGTTTGTCAAATATTAATGTAATGTTTATTGTTATTATTACTGATTGTATTCTCTAGGCCAGGCCTCCTTTTAAGAGAGTCACTCTGCTGCCCCGGTTTCCTCTAACTCCAGGCTAAGTAAGCAATATCAAACTAGCCTGAATTTCTTGTGTGTGTACTTGTGTGTGTGTACGTGTGTGTGTGTGTGTGTGTGTGTGTGTGTGTGTGTGTGCATGCATGCATACATGCCAGTACTTGGATGTGAACTCAGGGCCTGGGTGCTGTCCCTGAGCTTTTATACTCAAGGCTGGTGCTGTATCACTTGAGCCACAGATCCACTTCTGGCTTTTTGCTGGTTAACTGGAGATAAGAGTCTCACTGGGGCTGGGAAGGTGGCTCAATGGTATTTTGCTTAGCTTGCATGCATCAGGCCCTGGGTTTGATTCTTCAGCACCACATAAACAGGAAAAAAAAAGCTGGAACTGGCCCTGTGGCTCAAGTGGTAAAGCGCTAGCTGAATTGCTGAGAAACAGCGCCCAGGCCCAGAGTTCAGACTCCACAACCACCGCCAACAACAACAAGGACTTTCCTGCTTGGGCTGGCTTGAAACCTTGACCCTTAGAGCTCAGCCTCCTGAATAAGGAAGATTAATTACAGGAGTGTGCCAACAAGCTCCCAGCTGAATCTGTGATTTTAGAATTTCTCAAAAAAAAAAAAATCAAAGAAACCCACAAGAGGTTTTATCTTTGTTGCAATTGTTTTTAATGTACTTAAAATGTACTATGTGATTTTTTTGTTTCTTTTGTATGTTCTTTCCCCATGGTATAACCCCTGTTTTCACTGTGTTTGATTCTGGTGCCTTGCATCTTGTATATACATTTTTTTCTAATTTGGGGAGGGGAAGGGAAATAACAAAATACTGAAACAAGGATACAGATTGACCTATTGTAGCAATGAGATGTACAAGACACTATGTTGAAAAGGAACTTTACAACTTGGGGGGGAGGGAGAAGTTGAGGAGGTGGGGAGAGAAGGGATGGTAGGAGAAAAACAAAAGAGGGGTTAACTATGCTCCATAGGAAATGTACTCATTACCTTACTCATGTAACTGTAACCCCTATGTACAGTATCTTTACAAAAAATATATTTTAAATGCAAAAAAAAAATCTCCAGGCCCGTAGAGTTTCACAAAAAAAAAAAGTTTCAAAGAAAAGAGGGACAAATAAAGTAATACCAATTTGCATAATCTATCCTAGAAATCAGAAGTTAGAACATATCCCCGCTCAGTTCATGGAGCTAGTGTTATTATGTTGATACCAAAACATCAAAATCAGAGAAGTCCAAAAGCCAAGAGTATCATTAAGTGGCACAGAATTTGCCAGGAAGCAGGTGTGTCTCATGCTTGTAACCTTGGCTACTCAGGAGGCTGAAATCCAAGCATCACAGTTCAAAGCCAGCCCAGGAAAGAAAATCTAGGAGACTCTGATTTCCAATTAACCAGGAAAAGGTTGGAAGCAGAGCTATGGTTCAAGTTGTAGAGAGCTATTTTGAATGAAAAACAAACAAAAAAAAAACACTCAGGGACAGTATCTAGGTCCTGAATCTAAGCCCCAGGATAAGCACATATCAAAATAAATAAATGACTAAATGTACCATTTATTTATTTACTTACTTATTGCCAGTCCTGGGGCTTGAACTCTGGGCCTGGGCACTGATCCTAAGCTTCTTTTGCTTGAGCCACAGTACCACTTCTGCCTTTTTCTGAGTAATTTATCGAAGATAAAAGTCTCACAGACATTCCTGCCTGGGCTGGCTTCCAACCACAGTCCTCAGATCTCAGCCTCCTGAATAACTAGGCTTACAGGTGTGAGCCACCAGTGTCCAGTTTAAATGCACCTTTTATGATTACTTTAAAAAGTGAACTGCTGGGGCTGGGAAGGTGGCTCAGTGGTAGAGCGCTTGCCTTGCATGCATAAGGCCCTGGGTTGGATTCCTCAGCACCACAAAAGCAGAAAAAGCTGGAAGTGGTGCTGTCGCTCAAGTGGTAGAGCGCTAGCCTTGAGCTGAGGAGCTGAGGGACAGCGCCCAGGCCCAGAGTTCAAGCCCCACAACTGACATAAATAAATAGTGAACTGCTTAGACAGCAGTGAACAAACTATACCGCATTTAGAATTGGGGTGTTAGCTCAGTGGTAGTGTGCTTGCCTAACCTGCACAAGGCCTCGAGTTCCGTCCCCAGCACCTCAAGAGAATGGGATCAATTGGCCCAAATTGATCAGCACACTTAGAGCCGTCCCTATCAGAATGCCAGCATGCTGTCCACAGAGATAACACAGGAGCTGGCTGTAAGGAGCATTGGAGTTGTGTCCATGGGGGATTTGCCTTGTGCCTGCGTTCTTCTCTCTCCTCCCCCATTCCCCTGACCCTTGGATGGCACCTTACCCCACGCATGCTCACTCACACTCCTATCTTTGAGCCCAGAGAGGCTGGGACTTGCCCTGGGTTCCTGGATCTGCCCCGGCCCAGCCCCCGCCCAGTACCGGCAGGGAGAGGGAGGTGATTGCTGACAGCCAGAGGAAATTCCCCTGGAACCAGTTTCTCAGCTTCCTGGCCCAGCTGTGGAGGGACGCCCCTGGAAGGAGCGGCTGGGCCAGGACCCCCCTGGGCCCCAAATGGCCTCTGCCCTGGGCCCACCCCGGGTCCCCAAGCCCAAAGGAGTCCTGCCTTCACACTACTATGAGAGCTTTCTAGAGAAAAAGGGGCCCCGAGATCAGGTAAGGGCAGATGGGAAGCCCAGCATAGCTCTGGAGCCCGGGCAGAGGTGGATTGTTTTTCAGGGCCTCAGTTTCCCCACGGGGTGGCTGAATGTGGCTGGGCTGGTACTGGGGGCTGTCAAGGGTTCTAGCTATGTATGTCTGTCCGTGTCTATCTCTGTCCTTGTATTTCTCTACTTGATTCTTTTTCTCTATGTGTCTGTCTTTCAGTCTGTCTGTCGGTCGGTCTGTCGGTCTGTCAGTCTTTCCATCTGTCTCGTGTCTCTTTTTTGATCCTTTGGATACAAACAAGACCGAGAACTTCCTCCAGGAAATGAAAAGCCCTCTGACTCCCACACCTCTCTTCTTCCCTCTCTCTTCCCCAGCCTGTTCTCACTGGGGCTTTAGGGGTCAAAGCCTGGACAGGTGACAGTCAGGGACATTGAGAGCAGATGTCCGGCCATATCGGACAGGACATGTCTGTATGTGTACGTGCACGCCTGTGTCTTCCTCAGTTTCCCCGAGGCCCCCCCAGCTCTCCCTCCGTACACACCCTAGGAAGGCTCTGAGCCAGCCCTCTCTGCTCCTCGCTCCAGGCATCCCTGCCATTGCCCCTGGGGTTTTCCTCAAGGTGACCTTGGCCTTCTCTCCACCTCCCCACTACCCACTCCTCTAGAGTTTAGGGAACCAGGTACAAACCCCTACTGGGAGCCTCCTTGCTGTCCCTGACTCCTCTAGGGCCTCAGTTTTACCTCCAGTGAAAGGGGTAGAGGGAGCTGGGCACCGATGGCTCACACCTGTGACCCTAGCTACTCGGGAGGCTGAGATCTGAGGACCACAGTTCAAAGCCAGCCCAAGCAGAAAAGTCTGTGAGATTCTGATCTTCAATGAGCCACCAAAAAGCCACAAGTGGAGCTGTGGCTCAAGTAGTAGAGCCCTATCTAGCCTTGAGTGCAAAAGGTCAGGGACAGTGCCCAGGCCCTGAGTTCAAGCCCCAGGACTGGCACAAAAAATGAATAAATAAAAATGGCTCTCTTAAATTCATACTTCACCTGGTTTGTCTTAAGCTAATGTCAAAGTGTTGGGCACAATACTCCCATGGGCTGGGGGTGAAGTTCCAAGTACTCCAATTGTTTTGTTCTCCGCCTCTCTCTGCCTCTCTCTCTCTCCCTCTCTCTCTCATGTGCATGAATCATGTGTGTACTGGGGCCTGAAACTCAGGGCCCAGATGCTGTCCCTTGACATTTTCCCTGAAGGCTGGCACTTTACCCCTTGAGCCACAGCCCCACTTCTGATTTTTGCTGGTTAATTGGCTATAAGAGTTTCTCAGATTTGTCTGCCTATGCCAACTTAGAACCATGATTCTCTTCCTAAGTAGCTAGGATTGCAGGTATGAATCACCAGTGGCCAGTTGTTTTTATTCTTTTATAGTTTGCTGAGAATTTGTGCAGAAAAAATTGACTAATGTAATAAAAGCTGCTACAACTCAAGATGGCCAAGGTCACTTCCAGCTGAACCTCCGAATACCACACGGAGTTTGACTATACATTACTCCATTCTGAGTAGCTAGCACATGGTAGATCCTCACTAAGCTCGAGGCAGATAAATGTGTGGATCCAGGGAGGATGGATGGGTGGGTAGGCAGGTAGGTGGCTGGATGGATGAATGGATAGATGGACAGATGGGTGGATGGGCTGGTGGATGGATGGATGGATGGGTGGGTGGATGGGTGGATGGGTGGGTTGATGGATGAACAGATAGGTGGATGGTTGGGTGGATGGATGGATGGATGATGGATGGATGAGTGGGTTGATGGATGGGTAGGTTGTTGGATGGATGGTGGATGGGTGGGTGGTAGATGGATGAGTGAATGAGTGGATGGCTAGGTGAATTGGTGGATGGTGGATTGATGGATGGAGAGGCAAATATGAATGAATGGATAGGTGGATGAATGGATGAGTTGGTGGGTAAATGAATGATGGGTGGATGGGTGGGTGGGTGCATGGATGGATGGATGGATTATGAGTCAACAGATGGGTTGATGGATGGATGGAGGAATGGATGGATAGGTGAACTGATGGATGGTAGGTTGATGGATGGATAGGCAGACAGATGAACGAATAGATAGGGGGATGAGTGGGTGGGTAGGTGGGTGGGTGGGTGATGGATGGCATACTATGAAGCAGTGAGACGCACTTACTCCTAGAGAGCCTCCTCCTCCTCCACAAATGGTGAGGCTGCAATGGGTCCAGTTGCTTTGGTTTGTTGTTTCAGGGCCTGAAATGGAACCCAGGACCTAGGGTGTGTTAGGCAAGGGTTCTACTTGGAGTTACATTCAAGCCCAAGGTTCTCTTTTTGCCTTCCCCCCCCCCCCCCGTCAGTTGTGGGTCTTGAACTCTGGGCCTGGGCACTGTCCTTCAGCTCTTCAGCTCAAGGCGAGCGCTCTACCACTGGAGCCACAGCACCACTTCCAGTTTTCTGGTGGTTACTTGGAGATAAGAGTCTCATGGACTATCCTGCCCAGGCAGGATCTCAGCCTCTTGAGTAGCTAGGATTGATTACAGGCGTGAGCCACCAGTGCTGGGCTTCTTTTGTCCTTTCTTAATGAGAACAGCAGATCCCAGAATGTGAGTCACGATGCATAGAGCGGGACCTCCCTGAAGACAATATTTGACCAGAAAACCGAAGCAGTTAGCTGAAGATGTGGGGCAAGCGTATCCAGGCCTAGGAAACCAACAGCCTGTGCAAAGGCCCTGATCAGGGCAGAAGTAGGTTACTGAAGCTCCCTCGTTGACTTCCTCATTGCTCGCCCTCCACTTCTTAGGGTTACAAGAAGTTCTGGGCGGGCCTCCAGGGTCTCACCATCTGCTTCTACAACAGCAATCGAGACTTCCAGGTAAGCCTGAGAATGGGGAGCAGGACCTGGCCCGCCCTTGACCCCCACAGATCATGCACAGGAAGTGTGCCCCACTGTCACAGGAACAGCTACATTCTCCTGAGGATCGCAGACCCCAAGAGGCTTGGGGCTGTCACACCTCCTTGTTTTTGTGTTCTCTGCCATAGCCACTGGAGAAGCTGGACCTGAGAACATTTGTGAAGCTCACAGACAGCATTCCCCAAGTAAGCTCCCGTGATTCTGGTCTCCACCTCACTCTGGTCCTCAGGACCCAAGAGGTCAAGTTCAAGGTAGGTGGATGGGGTGAATGGGAAAGATCCCTTCCATTCATACAAACAAACAAACAAACATGGAGTCCCTAAGATGGCCTGCAGCACACACAGGCAGTGCAAAGGCCCTGGGGCAGGTCTGAGCCCGATGTATTATTATAGGAACAGCAAGGAGGCCTGTATGGCTGGACCCGAGGGAGCAAAGAAAGCAGAGTAGGAAAGAGGACAAGAGGCAGGTCGTGCAAGGCATGTGGGCTGTGGGGATACATTGAGCTTTTACCCAAAGGAAGCTGGGAGCCACGAAAGAATTTAGAGCATCAGAGGTGCAGGGGATGTAACCCACCCTTTCAGCTGGACCAGTTGGGCATGGTGGTGTATGGCTGTCATCTCAGCTACAGTAGTAAGCTTAAATATGATACTGGTCCAGGACACTCTGGGTGAAACCAAAACTCAAACTCAAAAGTAACTAAAGCCAGATGCTGGTGGCTCAGGACTGTAATCTTAGCTACTCAAGAGGCTGAGATCTGAGAATCATGGTTCAAAGCCAGCCTGGGCAGGAAAGTCTGTGAGACTTATCTCCAATGAACAACAGAAAACCAGAAGTAGAGCTGTGGCTCAAAGTAGTAGAGCTCTATCTAGCCTTGAATGACAAAGCTCAGGGATAGCTCCCAGGCCCTGAGTTCAAGCCCCACAACCCCCCCCCCACACACAAAAGGGCTGGGGTGTGTTAAGCAACCCCTTATTTGTAAGTCATAGATCACCTCCCAAATACCATCTTCAAAGCTGCTCTTGGAGTTAGTGCCTCTTACTTTTCCCTCTTTCTCTCCCTAGGTAGAGAGCCTAGAGTCCCGGGAGATGTGGAAAGGCTTTATTTTGACCGTAGTGGAGGTGAGTGTGGGCATTTTTTCTTTCTTTTGGTCAGTAGTGGGGCTTGAACGCTGGGGTGCTGTCCCTCAGCTCTCCAGCTCAAGGCAAGTGCTCTACCACATGAGCCACATCACCACCTCTGGTTTTCTGGTAATTAATTGGAGATTAGAGTCTCATGGACTTTCTTGCCTGGGGCTGGCTTTGAACTGAGATCCTCAGATCTCAGCCTTCTGAGTATCTAGGATGACAGGCATGAGCCACTGGCACCTGGCTCTTTCTTTCTTTTTGCCAGTCCTAGGGCTTGAACTCAGGGCCAAGGCACTGTCCCTGAGCTTCTTTTGCTCAAGGCTGGCACTCTACCACATGAGCCACAGCACCACTTCCAGCTTTTCCTATTTATGTGCTACTGAGGAATGGAACCTGTGGCTTCATGCACGCTAGGCAAGCGCTCTACCACTAAGCCACCTTCCCAGCTCTCCAGTGTGGGCATCTTCTATTCATGTCTCTCAGACCCCAGACCTCCCTCCACGCCCTCTCTTCCCCCCACCCCACACTGGGCTGGACCTGGAGACCCAGGGTCCATCTTCTGTGTTGCCAACAGTGCTTCAAATTCTAAAGTTAGCTTGCCATGACTGTTTAAGTGGTCTACCTTCCTGCTTCTTTTCCCTACGACTTCCTTTTTCCTTTTTCTATGTGTGGGTATCTGTGCTTGGCTTTTTCACTCAAGGCTAGCATTCTCTACTGGAGTCACATCTCCAGTTCTGGCTTTTTGGTGAGAATCTCGTAGACTTTTCCTGCCCAGGCTGGCTTCAAACCTCCATCCTCAGATCTCAGCCTCCCCAGTAGCTAAGATTACAAGTGTTTTCCCACTGTTTGGCACTTGTGGGCTACTTGAGACTTTTCCAGTCCCTTGTCCCGAAGTATAAGTTTGTTTGAGCCCCCATGCCTGCCTGTGCTCTGGGCATAGCTGGCCGTCCCCTCACCGCCTGTGCCTCCCCGGGGCCCCCATCCCCTGTCAGCTCCGTGTCCCCTTCAACCTGACCCTGCTGCCTGGACATCTGTACATGATGGCTGAAGTCCTGGCCAAGGAGGAGGCTCGCCGTGCAAGCGAGGTGCCCTCGTAAGTCTTGGGGACCCCTGGCTCAGGGGTTCTGAGGTGGGAATGGGCAGAGCAGGTGTGGCTGATGGTGGGCAGCAGGCTGAGTCTGTCGGCATGGGGTGCAGGTCTGTGTTAGGGGTGGGGGTGGGGGTGGGGGGAGCAGAGCAGAGCTAGGACTCTAGGGGCAGGTGATGTGGGGGGAAGGGCGTGACCTGAGCTCTGGGGGCGGGGCTATATGGGAGGGCGGGGTTTTGGTATGGGGCGGGGTTATGTGTGGAGGGGCGGGGCCTTGGTGGGGTAGGCGTGTGTTGGGAGGGTGGAGCCTTGGTCTGGGCGGGGCTATGGCCTCTGCTTTGAGGCGTGGCTATGTTGGGGGCGGGGCCTGGCTCTGGGGCGGATTATGCCGGGAAGGGCGGGGCCTGCGCCCCCGGGGCGGAGCTGTTCCCAGTTGCTTTGGTTTGGTTTTAGGTGCTTTATGAAGGTCAGCCGGCTGGAGGCACAGCTGCTCCTGGAGCGCTACCCTGAGTGCGGGAACCTGCTGTTGCGGCCCAGCGGGGATGGCACAGAAGGTGGCGTGTCTGTCACTACCAGACAGATGCTCAACGGGTGCGCATGCGCGACTCGGAGCCCTCCGCGGTGGGGGTGAGGGTTGTGGGTCAGAGGTTGGGGCGGAGCCACCCCTGAAATCAAGTTCGCCTAGGGGCGGGGCCGGCTTTGGGGGCAGGGGCGGCACGCCGGCGCGGGGCTCAGTGCCTGAGAGTTAGACTGCGCTCCTCCGGCCAGTCAAGACGAGCAGGCCGACCTGGGCAGGCCTGTCAATCAAAGCCCGGCCTGGTGGCTCAGCCCGTAAACCTAGCTACTCAGGCTGAGATCTGAGGAGCGAAGTTCAAAGCCAGCCTGGGGCGAGGAAGTCCGAGAAACTGTTACCTCCAGTAACCACTAGAAAACCGGAGTAAAGCAGAAGCGTTCAGGGACAGCACCCAGGCCCGGTTCAAGCCCGAGGAGCTACCAAAACAAAAATCAAAAAAAAAAAAAAATACAAAGTCAAGCCCAGCGAGAATGGGCCTTTGAACGGGATAGGGCAGGGGGCAGAGGTCACGGAGTCCCGTTCAGGGGTCGAGCTGAGGGCAGATCTAGCCTGGGCATCGCCCTGAATCCTCCAAGGGTGTAATCAGATCTCAGAACACAGGGTGGAGTCAAACCTGGAGGCGGGGCCAGGGAGGGGGCGGGCCGTTTAGAGGCGTGGCCACTTGCGAGGTAATCCTCCAATCAGGCGGGCCCAGGCAAAATGGGAGGGCGGGGCCGGGGAGGGACGGGTCGTGGGAAGGCGTGGTCAGTGCGAGGCGCTCCTCCAATAGGGCGGGCCCAGCTCTGGGAGGGGGCGTGGTTTCGCGGGGGCGGAGCCAGGCAGAACCCGTTCCTCAGCGCGTTCTCCGCGCAGGGCGCCCGTGGTGCGGCACTACAAGGTGAAGCCCGAGGGCGCCAAGTACGTGATCGACGTGGAGGACCCGGTGAGCATCGGTCCCGGGGTCCCGAGATGCGCGCTGGTGGTGGGGTCCGCGCCCTCCCCCCGTCTCCCTGACCGCGGTCTCCCATCCCTCCTCTCACCCCCCCCACCCCAGTTCCCCTGCGCCTCGCTGGATGCGGTGGTCAACTATTTCGTGTTGCACACCAAGAGGGCGCTGGTGCCCTTCCTGCTGGAGGAGGACTACGAGAAGGTGCTAGGTGGGTGCGCCTTCGGGCGGGGGGAGCCGAGGGGGGCCCAGTCTTCCCCTTCTCATGTCCCCATCGTCCAGAGGAAAGGGACAGCTTCTGGCCGCCGCGCCTCCTCCAGGTCGCCCTGTCTGTTCCAGGCTACGTGGAAGCGGATAAAGAGAACGGCGAGAGTTTGTGGGTGGCGCCCTCCGCCCCGGGCCCAGGTGACGCCCCCACCCCGAGGCTGCTGCTGGGGCAGAGAGGGAGGGACCCTGAACCCACCCCCTCAGCCTCACCCCCTCAGCTAGCACATACCCAGACCTCAGGAACAGAAGTGACCCCAGATTGAGGACCCTAGAGGATGGGAGAAGAGTGGGATGCGGGGGGGGGGTAAGGGGGAGAAGAAATCTGGGAGGCTGGCTAAATCTAGGGTTCCCCTAGATCGGGGAGGAAGGGGACAAGGCAGAGAAGGGTTCATGGGAGATGTGGTGTTTACTGACGACCCGGAAGGAATTTGTTTTCCTATTTACTTTAGGGCTGGTCCTGGAGTTTGAACTGGACACGGTCCCTGAGCTTTGTGGGTTTTTTTGTTTTGTTTTGTTTTGTTTTCCTTGCACAAGACTGGTACTCTACTTCTTGAGCCACTGCTCCACTTCCAGCTTTTTTGATGGTTCATTGGAGAGAAGAGTCTCTTGGATTTATCTTCCCGGGCTGGCTCTGAACCTCAGTCCTCAGGTCTGAGCCTGAGGACACAAGCGTTGTCCCATCAGGACTACATGCTATGTGGCACGTGTGTCCCTCGGAAGCAGCCAACATATGTAAACTCATCGCTCCATGGTGCAGCCATTCATAGATACGTGTGCGCGGGCACTACCTCTGCTGCCAAAGTGGCACAACAGCATATGCATGAGCAGTTTTGCATATACTCAAATTATGCAAATGCAGGCCCACGTGTGTCTCTATTACCTGGGGATACAAACACACTTGCATCCTTGTATGTACACAGCACCATGCTGTATCCAGGTATGCAGACAGCCAGACTAGAGGTGTCAGGACCACCTGGGCCTTGACAGCGAACCCCCTTTTCTCCATCAGATTCTGTAACCCCTGCAAGTGTCCCGAAGCTGCCACCTCCTGTGCCAGTGTCTGCGTCCAGCCAGGACAAACTGCCCCCCCTCCCTCCCCTGCCCCCACTCCCAATCGAGGATGAGAACTACGTCACCCCCATTGAAGACACCCCATCTGTGGATTACGTCAATCAGGATGGTGGGTGAGGGCTGCAGAAATTGGGGTGGGGGTGCAGGAAGGCAATGGTGTCACATGACCAAACCCCCATATTTGTGTATGCAGTGATTTCCGGTAGCCAGCCAGCCGTCCTGAAGCCCAAGAAACTGGCAAAGCTTCCAGTAAAGCCTCCAAAGCCACCCATCAGCCCCAAGCCAGGTAGATAGAGCGCTTTCCTCCCACAATGCACTCTGGGAGGGCTCAGGCCTGAGCTCACCTCTGCTCCCCCTCACCCCACCAGAACCCAAGGCTATCAACAGCGTCCCTGCCAGGAAGCTGATAGGCAGCTCGGCCCAGGCTCTCTTCCTCGCCACAAGTAAGGAGACTGTGGGGGTGGATGCAGGGTGAATTTCCCCCTACTCTGAGAGGTAAGACGAGGGAGCACTTTGTGGGTGGGATGATGCCTTTCAGCCTGTTTCCATTTGTGTCTGCATGGGACTCTATACATTGGGGGGGGGGAGGTTGTCATGACTGGGGAATTTCTGGCTCATCTGAAACTGAGGTCCTGACCCCAACACAGGGCTAGGGGATGTGACGGCAGAGTTGGAGGAGAAGCTGCAGAAGAGACGAGCACTGGAGCACTGAGTCACGGAGATGCCGGGGACCAGCGGCGGACATTCAATTGCCCAGAATTAAAACTCAACAGACTCCCCCCCCACACACACACACACACACAAAGCAGGCTTGCTGGGCACTGGTGGCTCACGCCTGTCATCCTAGCTACTCAGGAGGCTGAGATCTGAGGATTGTGGTTCAAAGCCAGCCTGAGCAGTAAAGTCCTTGAGACTCTTATCTGCAATAAACCACCAGAAAACCAGAAGTGATGCTGTGGCTCAAGTGATAGAGAGCTAGCCTTGAGCTGAAGAGGTGAGGGACAGCGCCCAGGCCCAGAGTTCAAGCCCCATGACCGACAAAAAAAACAAAAAATCCAAAGGAGGCTTATGTGTTTGGCATGCTTGGGACGCTGCGGGGGGACAGGGGCCCCTCAATGTCTGTGCACAATTGCCTCCATTACCTGAACTCCACAAGCCTGCTTGCCTGACCCACAGAGATGCGCATATCATAGCGATTAGGGGGTGGGGAGAAGCTCAAGGTCCTGGGGCCACACCAAAGAACCAACCCCACAGCCTGGCCAGTGTTTGACCTTTATTTGCAAGTGAGGGGAGAGGATCACCCCGGTGTCCACACCTTGTTGGGGACCCCCACCCCTCACTATCCAGAGTTAAGGCTCCAAGCAGCACATGAGAGGGCTTGGCCCAGTTGAACCACCCAATGCCTCTGGCGGCTTCCCCCTTCACCCCCAAAGCACCCAACCGGTTTGTGTCTCTAGGTAAGACTGGTGTTGGAGCTGCTGGTGGCACTGCCCCGCTTCTGTAGACAGCGCACGGAGCTGGGGACCTGCAGACCGGTGGTCACCTGGAAGCTGCCACACCACACCTGGGAAGGGGGGAGAGGAGGGAGGGAGATCAGGGGAGCCCCGCACCCACCCACCCTTCCCACCCCCTTCTCCATTCTGTACACCCCCTGGGCAGCCAGACGGCAGCTCACCGTGAAGGCGGGCAGCAGCGGCTGTGTGAACTTGGCCTTGAACGTGTGCAGCAATTGTTTAGTGCGGGCGTTGTAGAAAGACAGGAGACCTGGGCGGGGAGGAGGGGGCAGCGGGAGGGGTCACGGGGTGGGTGATGTCCCCGGGCAGAGGCTCAGGCATGGGGGCGGGGTGGGAGGGCAGAGGTGGCTGGAGTCTTGGGGTCACCTTGATGGAAGTCACAGTGCACACCCAGGCAGTCGGGCACGGGGGCATCCAGCACCTTGACCTTGTTGGCGTGCTTGGCGGTGAAGCTGACCTGCAGCCAGTTGTTGACGTGGAGACACCAGGACGCTGCCGTCTTGCCCAGCTGCTCAAAGCGGCCCAGGCTGCGGTAGGCCACGCCCACACCAAATGCCTTGCTGTCTGGCTCATAGCGCACCTCCCAGTAATGCTCCCCGCTATCGATCATCGTGTCCCCTGGGGTGGGTGGGGGGGAGAGGACAGAGGGACACTGGGTAAAACCAGGGCCATGTGGACTTCTACTGTGGACAGCTACTCCCAGGGTCCCAGCTACTCCTGCCAGCTACTCCCAGGTTCCCAGCTACTCCTCAGGCTTGGTAAACATCCTGTACATACTTACCAAAGCCAAGCCATAGAAACTATCTCCAATTCATGTCCAGATGTCCCTTGATTCTTCCCAGAAAGTGGTCCCTTCCTCCCCATACTCTGGCTCCTGCCCACAGTTCCCCATGGGCCCACAGTCCACCTGGAGTCTGGATATCCCACTGGTTTTCCTGTCCCAGATCCTTCCCTGGACTCAGAGGCTCCTTCCTGTTGATCTCTGAATCCAGATCTCATCCAGGTCCCCTGCTCCACACACACATACCACCACCACCACCAGGGTCTGGCCCGGACCCCTCTCCTATTCTTACCCAGCACTGTGTAGGACTCGGCGGTGAAGCGGTCCCGGCCCCCACGGCTGGAGGGCGCCCTCTTCGGAGATGGAGTACCTCTGGGGAAAAGGGGAGAAGCTTGGTCCAGGCCTCACTTTCCACACAGGAGGCCTCCCTGGACCATTCCAGGCACGGCCTGCTCCATTCGTCCCTGATAATACTCGGCTCAAGGCTAGTGCTCTACCACTTGAGTCACAGCTCCACTTCTGACTTTTTAGTAATTGAAGACAAGAGTCTCCCAGACTTTCCTGCCCAGACTGGCTTCAAACCAGGATTCTCAGATCTCAGGCTCCTGAGTAGCTAGGATGACAGGTGTGAGCCACTGGGGCCTGGCTAGAAAACATTTTTTATATATATATATTTTTTTTTGGTCAGTTGTGGAGCTTGAACAGTGCGCAGGCGCTGTCCTTGAGCTTTTTTTGCTCAAGGCGAGCACTCTAACACTTGAGCCACAGTTCCACCTCCAGTTTTCTGGTGGTTCATTGGAAATAAGAGTCTCTCAGACTTTCCTGCCCAGGCTGGCTTTGAACTGCGATCCGCAGATCTCAGCCTCCTGAGATGCTAGGATGACAGGCATAAGCCAAACCCTGCTTATAATCCCCTCCCTCCCCTTCCGCACCCCACCTCCCCATTCATGGTAGAAGGAAGCAGCCTGCTTCCTCCAGCACAGCTGCTCCCT